TTAAATTGGATTAGATTAGTGTTAGAATACATTTGTAGTACTGGAAACAAACAGTAGGTTAGATTAAGATAAATTTATAGTACTGAAAACAGTAACTAACAGTAGCTTAGATTAAGCTAAGATAAACTAGTTTAAGTGGGATTAGGTTTGTGTTTTACTATATTTGAAACAGTCTCTAACACTAAGTTATATTATGTTAAGTTAAACTAGATTAAGTTGGAATAGACTAGTATTAAACTATATGTATTTTAATGGAAATAGTCACTAACAGTAAGATAAATTATGCTAAGTTAAACTAGAATTAGTTCCTTATGTTAGTTCAGTCTAAGTTGGGTTAAATCTTACTTATCTTAGATTAAGTAAAGGAACGTTAGATTTCTACACATTTTTCTGTTGTGATTTGATTAATTTTATTGTTTTTATTGTAGCAGTGATTATAGAAATGTTTAATTAATGTTTAATTAGTTTGGGCGATCATCGATACTTTCATATCGATTAAAATTGAAGGAGAGAAAGTCCGTTGGAGTTAAAATCAAAAGTATATTCCTCGCAAATTGTAATTAGTATAATCAGATTACCGTTAGCCAATGCCGATCGAAATTGGGTTACGCACCGGCAAAAATCAATATTTAGTCGTAGAAGAAAAAAAAATTGTATATACGTACGGAATATCTCCTCTTTAAGAGCAATTGAAGCCTCTTCAACTGAATTGCTTCCCATCCGATGGAAACGCGTATTACTTTTAGCTTTAGCACAGTTTTCCTCCTGTAAAGCAACTCAAGAAAGCAATAGAAGTAGAAAAAAAAAACTAAGCCAATGCAGCAACAATGCGTATTTGTTGTAGAAACGAGGATGTCCTAACGGTGATGGTGATGATGAAGAAGTAGAAAAGGAAACTTTTGTATAAATAGATGTTAATTTATGTAGATGTAAGTAACAATAATAATTTTGAATGGTAGGATGCGCTCGAAGTGGATGATTTAAGCGTATTCAGATGTATGGATCGAGGATTCTCGAATTAGGATTCTCGTTTTGGTGTGTACTTCTTCAAGTAAATGAAGAGGAAAAAGTGGAGTAAATAGCAGTTTTCTACGGTTTATCTCTTTTTTTTCTTCTTACATTTAATTTAATTTATCCTCTGATTAGATTAGTGGTACTCTCATTAGCGACTTGTGAAAGCGTTCATCTTATAATTTATTTTTTTAGTAATGTCAGTGAATAGAAAGTGCGAAGCTATGGGTCACATTTGCGCGGAACGGAATTTACTTTCGATGAGATTTCGTGGACGCTTCGGAAAACCACACCAAAAATATTTCCAAGTTCGCACGGCTCCAGTGGAATCCGGCTTCAGTGGAAATGACATCCTTTCCGTCCAGGTGAAAACCTGATGAACGAGAGAAACTCATTTTCCATGGAAAATCCAAGCAATTTATTTTTTCAGTTTTATTTATTTTTTCTTATGAAATTCCATTGTAAACTCTTGTATTTTCTATTAAATTTAAATTAATTAATATATTTCTTGTATAAATAGAAAACGCAGTTATTTTCATTGATTTGAAAAATAATTACAAATTTTGAAAAAAATAAATTATATAAAAATCTATTTTTCATATATTGTTTCTTTTTTGAAAATGAAAGAAATAATTGCTTTTTTCTTTAATTTAACCCCTGTTCTCATGATTTACTATAAAAATATTGGTAAATTTTGGAAATCCAATCTTTCCAATTGTTTCCATGAAAATTTTGTATTTTTTTATCAATTTCAGGTTTGAATTTGTATCTTTTTGAATAAATCTATTGATAATTACATAAAGTATTTCTAAATATGTTTAATATTCAATTTTTTTCTCATGTGCTGGAATCTGGGACAAACCTGGGCACGTCTTTGGGATTTCATTAAAAATCGTGGACAACATTTGGACAAAAGCACATATGAAATTGTTTGTTATTTACGGATGGATGCGACAAGAACAGGTGTTGTGTGCAACCTGTTATTAAACGAGGTTGCAGATGATGCCTGCTCTCCGGCAGACGTTCTCATCCGTTCCGCCTCATTCCTAGATCACAAACCAATTTTATTTCAATTATTTTCGATCTCCAAATTTCGCATTCAAAACACAAATTTCTATTGACGAAAGTTGTGTGTGTGAATTATTGTTTAATTCAAATTTCTTTTGTCTCTTGATTCTCTTCCTCTATTCTTTCTATTATTAGTAGTCAGACTGCTTCAACTCAACGGAATGTTAGCAAAAAAAATTGAATTGCCGAAAACGAGTCGAGTAGAAATTGCATTTTACCGGTCCGGTTTTCGCGATTTCTAATCTATTGTATTAATCAATTATGAATCCACGAGAAATCGCCTCTCAACATCTTCATCTAAATGAAGACATAATTAACAAATCATTAAAAACACAAAAGATTTCACAGTTTTTTTTTGCAATTTTTTTTTATAAATTCTTTATCAATTATAAAATTGACAAATTTAGTTTAAAATTGTGTAAATTTTCATAAAAACATAGTTAAAAATTCAAAATTTACAAAAAACAATCATTACTTATTCTCAATGAAAAATGTTATAATCTTGCAAACAAAAATTGTTCATTTTAGATAAGATTTATGCATGTGTATAATGGTAAAAATTCTAAACTCTCTCATCATTTTACAAATCATCTCGTTGAGCATATCTCAAAGTAGGTTAGATTATTTTGAATTATACATATTTTCTTTGACTCAAATCAGTATACGGTACTCCAGCAACTACGAACATAAATAACAACTCAACGTTTATTTTCATGCTTGAATATTTTAGTTTGAAAGACCCTAAAGACATTTGTATGTGGGTTGAAATAAGAAACGAATACAGAAAGTTAGAAAATTCTTAGTAATAACGATGAAAGCATAGATTATTAAAATATTCAATTAAAGCTAAAATTATAAGTTGTAAAATAAGCGAAAATTCATATTTGTGGTTTACTTGTAATAAGTTGAAAAATTTGAATATTTTTTTTAATAATCATTTTGCATTTTCTTGAATATCTCAAGAACCAAGATGAGCACATAGATAATTCAATAACCCAATTAAAGCTGATAATAAAATCATTAAAACGTATATAAATATTATATTTATGTATAATAGTGTGTCAAAATTGCAACAAAGTTTTTTTAGACAATTTGTTAAATATATTTTAACAGTGACTTTATAATTTGTTAAATTTCTCGAGAACCAAGATGAGCATATAGACAATTCAGTAATCCAATTGAAGCTGATGATTTAGGCTTTAAAACGTGTCTAAACTTATATTTGTGACAATTGTGGTTTACTAGTAATAATCTGTCCAAATTGTAATAAAGTTTTTTTTATTTTATTTATGCAATTTGTTAAATATCTCGAGAAATAAGATGAGCATATAAATCAATCAATAATCCTATAAAAGCTAATAATATTCAGTATAAATTACTATTAAAGATGTTTTTGTGACATTGATCGTTTATCTGTTAATTAGCAATCTATGTGCTATTCAATAATACAAAAAGTTTATTTTTAGTTATATCTTTATATATTTTTGAATATCTTGATAACCAAGCTGAATACATGGGTTATTCAATAATCCAAATAAATCTAAAAGTATAGGTTATAAACTGAGTATAAAAACATATTTGTGACTTTCGTAGTTTGCTTGTAATATTCTGTCAAATTTGAAACAACGTGTTTTGAACACTGTCTTAATTTTTTTTTGTATATCTCGAAAAGTAGTATAAGCACATAGATCATTCAATAATCCAATTAAAGCTAATAATATAGGCTATAAAATGTGCATAAAATTGTATATGTGAATTTAGTAGTTTGCTTGTGATATTATGTCAAAGTTGAAACAACGTTTGTTTTGTATACTACAAATTTTGTTGTATATCTCGAGAATTAGGATGAGTACATAGATGATTCAATAATCCAATTAAAGCAAATAATATAGGCTATATAATGTGCATAAAACTGTAAATGTAAATTTAGTAGTTAGCTTGTAATTGTAAAAAATTAGATAAGATCTTTTTTTAATAGTGTTTGTTGAATATCTCGAGTACTAAGATTAGCACATAGATCATTCAATAATGAAA